GGTGGTGAAGGACAGGTACTGTATATACACATTTCTATAGGTCATGCTTTGTCCCATCCCCTTAATAGATACAAACCCAGATATTACCTTGTGAAAATAGCAGCAACATCATCACTGGTCTGTACAGAGAACAGAGTTGTGGGAGTGACCCAGTAGGTCCCACCAACTACAGGCTGCCTGCAGAAAACTACAGTGGAGCCAATACAAGACCAGTCACCCTGCACAAGGAGATAGAGCTGCAGTGACCAGTCTTTGTTACTGGAAGCTCCAGCACAGAGACAAAGTTTCACACTGGATTACTGCACAAATCTGGAAAAAATACACAAAGCACACCAAGGTACAAGTAAAAAAGCACATGGTTCATGTATTTAGACAATATTTGCTTATCCCAGAGTTCAGCTTTAAAGCTAAACTCCAGCTATGATCAGTAATGCATAGTTACATTGGTCCAGCTTGACACAATGTAAGTATGCATTACTCATACCTGATGAAGTGCTACTACAGTGATAGCCATGGGCTTCTGGGTTCTGCTTGGTTTCTGTGCAAGCAGCTTGCCCTCTGCACAGAACACAAGGGGTCACTGGCTCACAACACACCACCATTCAGAGCGAGGTCAGCGCATGCTGAAGTGCACAGAAGTCGCCAACTGTCTGCAGAGTCAATGGCTAAAGACCTCCAAACTTTGTGTGGCCTTCAGATTAGCACAACAACCGTGCATAGAGAGCTTCATGGAATGGGTTTCCATGGCTGAGCAGCTGCATCCAAGCCTTACATCACCAAGTGACAAAGCGTCGGATGCAGTGGTATAAAGCACGCCGCCACTGGACTCTAGAGCAGTGGAGACGTGTTCTCTGGAGTGACGAATCACGCTTCTCTGTCTGGCAATCCGATGGATGCGTCTAGGTTTGGCGTTTGCCAGGATAATGGTACTTGCCTGACTGCATTGTGCTAAGTGTAAAGTTTGGTGGAGGGGGGACTATGGTGTGGGGCTGTTTTTCAGGGGTTGGGCATGGCCCCTTAGTTCCAGGGAAGGGAACTCTTAAGGCTTTAGCATGCTAAGACATTCTGGACAATTTCATGGTCCCAACTTTGTGGGAAGAGTTTGGGGATGGCCCCTTCCTGTTCCAACATAACTGCACACCAGTGCACAAAGCAAGTTCCATAAAGACATGGATGAGCGAGTTTGGGGTGGAGGAACTGACTGACTGGCCTGCACAGAATCCTGACCTCAACCCGATAGAACACCTTTGGGATAAATTAGAGCAGAGACTGCGAGCCAGGCCTTCTCGTCCGACATAAGTGCCTGACCTCACAAATGCACCTCTGGAAGAATGGTCAAACATTCCCATAGACACATTCCTAAACCTTGTGGACAGCCTTCCCGGAAGAGTTGAAGCTGTTATAGCTGCAAAGGGCGGGGCCAACTCAATATTGAACCCTACAGACTAAGACTGGGATGCCATTAAAGTTCATGTGCGTTTAAAGGCAGGAATCCCAATACTTTTGGCAATATAGTGTATGTATACTCAGACTAAGTTAACACTAGCCAATCAGCAGTGGATTGGTTTTTAGAGTGCTGCTAAGCAGCCACTGTCAGGCATTCAGGAGGCGATCCTGCCCCCTCCCGAATGCCTGTTTTTTTTGTGCTCGTGCTTGTGGCACAGCCCCACTGATTTGAATGGCCAAGGTTGAAAGGCCTTGCTAACAAGCTGCGTCAAGTTTGCCACAGCTGCAAAAGTAACCTTGTAGATTGTAAGCTCCCAGGATCAGGGCCCTCCTAACCCTCTTGTATTGAACTGTATTGTTGCTGTATTGTCTCCCGTTATATTGTAAAGCGCTGAGCAAACTGTTGGCGCTATATAAATCCTGTATAATAATAATATAATTTAAGATCATACCCATAGTTCAGCTTTCATTCATGAACACACACAGTTGAAGAAGAGATGCAGCATTCTCTTCCTTCCACCAGCTATGTAAAGAACACAAATACAGACTGCATGTGATGTATATAAAGGCAGCACTGCATTATGTGCACAGCACAAGCTCTACGTCCCACAGAAGCTGTAGACAGGCAGCAATAAGGATACAATATGCAACAGATACATTACCAGCCATTACTCCTCTGTATGCTACGTAAAGCAGGAAGTAAAAAGCACAAGGTCTGGGCGGGGACTGCAGTCCTGCATAGGACCTGAAGAACGTGAAGCAGCAGCTACATTTTCCTTTCACTATTGAGACTTGGGCTGGGCACATTGCTGAGTGTTTCCTAAGCCTGCAACCTCAATTGTTCTAAAATAATTAGAAATGAACACTCAAGTCCTGTTAAGTTTTTCAAAATGGGATAGAAATAAAACAATTCTGCCCAACTTACTAGGTGCTGTACAACAATCCAAAAGGAAAAATGTCATATACAAACACAACTCAGAGTGCTTAAAACCTAACATAAAATACAGACATGCAGTCTCTTCTGGTGTAGCCATTTCCACAAAGTGCAAAAAGAAAAAAAAAAAAAAATAGTGCATGAGACCCTATATAGTCATACAGAATTATATAATACACCTGAAATACTGAGTCCTATAGAACAGGGCTTGAAATTTCCACTCGCACTGCGCATTTGGCTAGTGAAAATAACATGGGGGCAAGTGTGTCCCAGGCTACCAGCAGCACCAACCTGCCCCGAGCACTGTGTTGAGGGGGGCGCACTGCTGGTGCCTTTCCTCAGTGACCGGAGTGATCGCAGTTTCACTCCTTTCACAGAGAGCAGCTGCTGACACTTGCTGGACGGAGGACTAGGCTTTCTCCTCCCTCCTGCCTGCAGGGGGCAATAGACAGCCGGCACTAAGGAGTGAAGGCGGAGTGTCCTTCCTCTCTCCCCTTCTCATGTGACTTATCACGTGACCGAAGGAGGGAAAGAAGGAGAAGCTGCATTCACAAGAAGATCTGTGCATAAAAGGGGGGAAGGGTGAGGTTACACTTATGGGACACCTGATGTAAAGGGGGGCTCTGATGGGAACACCTTATTTAAAGGGGGACTCTGATGGGAACAGATTATATAAAGGGGGACTCTGATGGGGACACCTGATGTAAAGGGAGACTCTGATGGGGACACCTGATGTAAAGGAGGCCTCTGATGGGGACACTTTTTTTCATTTTATGTTTACATTGTTTTATGTTAACCACTTGCCCTCTAGACTCTATTAAGTTATTGCTGTTATGTTTACATTGACATAATAAAGCTATGTTATAATTGCTGTTTTTTTATATTATGTAATTTCACCAGGGGGCGTGGTTGGGGGCAGGGCTGGGGTTGGAGGCAGACTTGGTCAAGGTTTGGTGGGGCAACTGGTGGAAAGTAAGGTTTTTGCATGGCTAGTAGGTCTAGACTTGAAATTTTAAGCCCTGCTATAGAACTCCATACATATTTATAATGTAAAATAATAATATTAATTATAAAAGTACTTCTACACCCTCAAACCAAGTCTTCTGCTCTTGACGAAATTTATGACCGAAACATGTTGGGGGTGGATCAGGAACACGGTGAAATCACGAAGTAGCGGCCCCACACACATTCTTCTAGGAAATGGAGCTGTGCTCGTACAATTTTAAGTTTCTCATACTGCATGCAGGGAACCAGCACCAGCAAGTGTGAGTGCATTTCTATTTTGTTATGATGTTGTAGCTGATTGCTACATCTTGGAACTCCATAAATATTTATAATATACAAAATAATAATATTATATAAAATTACTACAACACACTCAAACCAAGTCCTTTGCTCTTGATGAAAGTTATGACCGAAACATGTTGGGTGGATCCAGAACACAATGAAATCACTAAGTAGCGGCCCCACACACATTCATCTAGGAAATGGAACTGTGCGTGAACAGTTTTAGGTTTCTTATACTGGGTGCAGGAAAATAGCACCAGCAAGTGTGAGTGGATTTCTATTTTATTATGATGTTGTAAGTAAATTTAACATGTTGCACAATGATGTTTGCCTCCTTTCCTTGCTTAATTGCTTCATGGATCTTTTTTATATGGGAGTTTCCAAGATTCTAGGCTTTAAAAAAAAAAAAAAAAAAAAATACTGCAAGACTTCATTGTTAGTGTATTTTAGAGGGTACCCATTAAAATAATTGTCACCCTGATGCAAACCCCTAATTACTATTGCAGGTTACAAAGGACTGAAGAGGATGTGATAGGCGGTGATATTAAGGTAAAAGGAGGGGGGGGCACAATGTTTAGAATGGATTGCCGTGGAATTTAAAATGTATAGCATGATAGCAGCCAGACATCACTGACCTGATCAATCACTGTTTTTGGTAGAAATGATATTTCTACATGGCAAATAATTTACTAGCAGGTGTAGTAGAGTAATAGAAATCCAACAGACCCAACAGTCATGACATGCATGCTGCTGATTCTGTGTAATTGAATCACTCATTGAAAGGGGCATGTTCAAAAATAATAGCAGTGTGGAGTTCTATTAATGAGGTCATTCATTCTTTGAAAAACAGGTGGCAATTATTGCCCTTATTTAACTACTTGCCGACCGCAGATAGACGAATGATGGCTACACTGTGGCCGGCCAATTCTGGTGGGCGTCACATGACGTCCTCTCAGAACGAGCTCTCGGGGCGCGCACCCGGCAATCTCTGTGATCGCTATGTCCTACGGACACAGCTGATCACGTGATCTGGTAAAAAAAGGCCAATCACAGCGGCCTTTTACCATGTGATCAGCCGTGTCCAATGACATGCTGATCACCGGGAAATACAATTGCCGGTTCTCAGCTGCACTTTCCTCACGCTGTCAGATCGTGGGGAAAGTACTGCCGAGAACCGGCAGTTGTTAGAGCAGGGATCGGCACCAATCATCAGGGCACTGATGATCAGTGCCCTGATGATCGGTGCCCAGCAGTGCCACCCACAAGTTCCATCTACCTGTGCCCAGCAGTGCGCCCACTAGCTGCGCCCATCTGTGTACCCACCTGTGCCCAGCAGTGCACCCACCTTTGCCCAGCAGTGACACACCTGTGCCAGAGCATGCCACCTACCTGTGCCCAGCAGTGCCACCTACCTGTGCCCACCTACCAGTGCAGCCCAGCAGTGCTGCCAGTCAGTGCCCAGAGGGTGTGCCAGTCAGTGCCCAGCAGTGCTGCCAGTCAGTGCCCAGCAGTGCTGCCAGTCAGTGCCAACTATCAGTGCTATCAGTACCCATCAGTGTCGCCTATCCGTGACACCTCATTAGTGCTGCCTATCTGTGCCACCTCATTAGTGCTGCCTATCAGTGCCCTTCAGTGCTGCCTATCAGTGCTGCCTCATCAACGCACATCAGTGAAGGAGAAAAATTACCTGTTTGAATTATTTTATAATAGAAACAAAGAAACTTTTTTTTTTTTTCAAATTTTTTGTTTATAGCGCAAAACTAAAGCGTCCAGCGGCGATTAAATACCACCAAAAGAAAGCTCTATTTGTGAGAAAAAAAATGATAAAAATTTCATATGGGTACAATCTTGCATGACCGCGCAATTGTCAAAGTGTGACAGCGCTGAAAGCTGAAAATTGGCCTGGTAAAGAAGGGGGTATAAGTGCCTGGTAGGCAAGTGGTTAAGGAAGGAAAGCAGCAAATGTTGTACATGCTGGTTACAGTGCATTTCTCTCTGACATTCTGAGGAAAATGGGCCGTTCCAGACATTGTTCAGAAGAACAGCGTACCTTGATTAAAAAGTTGATTGGAGAGGGGAAAACATATAAAGAAGTGCAGAAAATGATAGGCTGCTCAGCTAAAATGATTGCAAATGCTTTAAAATGGCAACCAAAAACTGAAAGACATGGAAGAAAGCGAAAAACTACCATTCGAATGGATAGAAGAATAGCCAAAATGGCAAGGACTCAGCCAACAATCAGCTCCAGGAAGATCAAAGAAGGTCTAAAGTTACCTGTGAGTACTGTTACAATTAGAAGATGCCTATGAAGCCAAGCTATCTGCAAGAAGCCCCCGCAAAGTCCCACTGTTGAAAAAAAGACATGCTGAAGAGGTTACAATTTGCCAAAGAGCACATTGACTGGCCTAAAGAGAAATGGTGCAACATTTTGTGGACTGATGAAAGTAAGATTGTTCTTTTTGGGTCTAGTGGGCGGAGACAGTTTGTCAGACGACCCCCAAACACTGAATTCAAGCCACAGTACACTGTGAAGACAGTGAAGCATGGTTGCGCAAGCATCATGATATGGGGATGTTTTCTCATACTACGGTGTTGGGCCTATTTATCGCATACCAGGGATCATGGATCAGTTTGAATACATCAGAATACTTGAAGAGGTCATGCTGCCTTATGCTGAAGAGGAAATGCCCTTGAAATGGGTGTTCCAACAAGACAACGACCCAAACACACCAGTAAACGTGCAACATCTTGGTTCCAGACCAACAAGATTGACGTTATGGAGTGGCCAGCCCAATCCCCGATCTTAATCCAATAGAAAACTTGTGGGCTGACATCAAAAATGCAGTTTGAGGCAAAACCAAGAAATAGAGAAGAACTGTGGAATGTAGTCCAATCATCCTGGGCTGGAATACCTGTTCACAGGTGCCAGAAGTTGGTTGACTCCATGCAACACAGATGTACAGCAGTTCTCAGAAACAGTGCTTATACAACTAAATATTCATTAAGTGATTCAAAGGAAAGCAAAATCTTCAAACATTTTTCAGTTTATATAGTGAATGTTTGAGTTTGTAAAGAAGAATACAAACACTGCTATTTTTTTGAACAGTCTAATATTTTCTTTTCTTCAATTTGTTTTAGAGGAACACCACAAACTTGATATATTTTTCTTCATATTTTGATTTGGAATCGAATGTGTGAGTGTTCCCAATGCATTTGTGTGTATGGAAATAAAAGCTATTAGAAGGATTTTTTTCTTTATTCTTTAACCACTTGCCTACCAGGCACTTACACCCCCTTATTTACCAGGCCAATTTTCAGCTTTCAGCGCTGCCGCACTTTGATTGACAATTGCGCAGTCATGCAACATTGTACCCATAATTTTGATAATTTTTTTCTCACAAATAGAGCTTTCTTTTGGTGGTATTTAATCGCCACTGGGCACTTTACTTTTTGCGCATAAATAAAAAAGTGCAAAAAATTTGAAAAAAAAAAAAAAGTTTCTTTGTTTTCTATTATAAAATTTTTCAAACAGGCATTTTTTCTCCTTCACTGATGTGCGTTGATGAGGCAGCACTGATAGGCGGCACTGATAGGCAGCACTAAAGGGCACTGATAGGCAGTACTAATGAGGTGGCACGGATAGGCGGCACTGATAGACAGCACTAATGAGGTGTCACGGATAGGCGGCACTATATGCAGCACTGATAGGTGACACTGATGATGGGTACTGATAGACGGCATGGCTGGCATCACTGCTGGGCACTTGGCACAACCCCTGGGCACTGACTGGTGGCACTGACTGGCATTTGCACTGGTGGGCACATGTAGGTGGCACTTCTGGGCAACTGCAGAGTGGTACAGGTGGGTGCACTGCTGGGCACAGTGTGGGTGATCTGCTTGGGCGGATAGTGGGCGCACTGCTTGGGCGGAACTTGCGGGTGGCACTGCTGGGCACCGATCATCAGGGCACTGATCATCAGTGCCCTGATGATCGGTGCCGATCCCCCGCTCTGACAACTGCCGGTTCTCGAGTACTTTCCTCACGATCTGACAGCGTGAGGAAAGTACAGCCGAGAACCGGCACTTGCATTTCCCTCTGATCAGCGTGTCATTGGACACCGCTGATCAGGTGGTAAAAGGCCGCTGTGATTGGCCTTTTACCACATCACGTGATCACTGTGTCCTATCACGGAGATATGGGTGTTGGGGTGCGCAGGAGAGCGCGTTCAACGTCATATGACGTCCACTCAGAACTGGCCGGCCGCAGTGAAGCCGTCATTCGGCTATCGGCAGGTAGTTAAGGCATTCACTTTTTTCAACACACTGCTATTATTTTGAACACAACTGTATATTTGGAACGTTCCATATATTCATTATTTTCTAATCAAACTGAATTCATGCACATTTCAGAAGATGGATATATTTTTATTCTATTCTATATTAGATAGACAGCTATAGTCTGTTTTTATTCTCTTCTATTCAAAATTCTAATTTTTGTAAACGGCTTCATTCATATTCTATTTTATTCCATTCGAATTTCAGAAGACTGCTATATTCTATTTTATTCTGTTCTATTACAAATTCTACATTCAAAGTTTGAATTTCATAAGACAGTTGTGTTCATTCGATTTTACTTTTATTCGAAATTCAGATTTCGGGAAGACAGCTACGAGGGACGTTCAAGTCAAACTGGGACAGGTATAAAAAGGGTTGCTAGCGAGATGGTACTTCATGCAGTAGTATGTGGCAAGTGTGTCCCATTATTGATAGGTGGAGCACATGTCACGGGCCAGTCCAGAGACCGCTAATCAAGATGGCTGACAACAGTGTTAGTACGTGCATGAAACAACGTATAGTGATGATGTTTCTTGTGAACGAAGGTGTAAAACCTGTGGATATCTACAGAAGTCTTCAAGCACAGTATGGTGATGAGATGCTCATCCGCAGTAGGACATTTGAATGATGTAAACATTTCAAAGATGACCGTATGATCCTGGCCATGGTGGTTCCCAGGTCACAGCAGTCATTCCTGTGAACATTCAGTGCGTGGAACACCTGATCATCAATAATCAACACATAACCTGAGGTGAAATTGCACAAGAGACAAATCTTTCTGGGGGAACGGTGAATACAATGATAACAAAAGTGACCTAGGATGGTTCATGCATACTGACAAATCTTTCTATGCTGAAACTTTCTAGGTATAAGTTAAATGCTGGGATAAGTGTATAAATGTAGGAGGGGAGTATGTAAAAAAAATAAATGCAGTTTCCACTCCATGAAATGTTTTTTTATTATATAAATTCAAAATTCCCATCTAAACCTCCATCAGTGTAGGAACTGCTGTGATTGCTCTCCTGTTAATGCCAATTGTAGACACAGTAGCTAGCACAGTAATAGTCTACCACTTCTCATTTCCACTGCTGCTGTGACGTGAGATATTATTTAACGCAGTGAGAGTAGATGAAAACTTCCTCTGCTGGCTTCTGTGTTCACAAGCTGCAGTGGTGATCTGTCACAGCTGGTCCCATGCTGATGGAGGTCTAGATGGGGCTTTGTAGCCCAATTTAACTAACGTAACAAGCAGGTAGAACACCACTTCTCATCCCTGGGGCCCAGACCCCCCCTCCCTCCACTTGGGCCCCATAGCAGCTGCTCCTTTTGGTCTACTGATGCTCTAATCAGCTGTCAGAAGTGAACCCTTCACCAAGTTGCAGTGTGTGCTTAAGCAATACATCACCAAGCAGTATCCCTGTTAAGTGGGAAGAAGAGGAGAAAGTCATGTTCTCCATACTAAAAAGTGACAGATTTGGCACTTTTCTGAGTAAACGGAGTACGGAGTAACCATAGAAAAAGACAAAAGGTACCTAAAAGCAACTGCAGGGGCTGGCTTTAGTTATACAAGCAGGCAAATTTTTCTCATGCAACAGATCAAAGCTAAGCAAAAACTTGACTAGAGTCTGGCCAGCTACTTGTAATAACTGTAAGTTTAGTAAAAAGCTGTCTTAATTGTCCCTAGTGGCCTCTAGGGTTTGAACCTGGGTTAGGAGGGTCTTCTTTTTTTTGGCTGGGCTTTTTTTGAGTTGTGCGTTAGATAATTTCTCTTGTAATTACACTTTTGTGGGATTACCACATTGTAAATGGGTAGGATACGGACTCATTGTTAAGTTTGAGGTATTTCTTGGGTTTAGATTTTAAAGTCTGGACCCATGTTTGCTCATTCGGCAAAGACCAATTGAGCCTCCAAATTTTAGATTGGTGGTTCTGTTGAAGGAACAGTGGGGTCATGGTAACAGGATGGTGATCTGCCAAAATCATTGGTTCAGTGGAGATCCTTTCTAGTATCATAAATCAGTTCAGAATCAAAAGGTAGCAATTTTTTTTTTTTTGAAGAGCCAAGTAGAAACTATAGTCTTTTTCCCTGGCATTGAGGGAAAGGTTGAGATCTGCACCCTTTTTTGAGGACGCCCAAAGAAAAGACCAAGTTTTTCACATGTCAAGAATGTTATTGGAACCTGTCTGAGGTTCGGGCCATGGATGTTGCCCAAGGTGACAGGTTTACCATCAATCTTGCTTTTCAAGAATTGGTAGCAGCCATCTGGGTCTTCTAGATGGGAAAGGTGAAAATTAGTGTCTTTGGCAAATATAAATAATGTTTTCTGACAATTTGCAGAGGAATTTGTGGTATATCAGGTTGGGTACCAGCAATTTGTTATCTTAGGTTTTGCCCCGATAGAAAATGCATTTCTTTTAGGAGTGCTTTTTTATTTTGCGTTTATTTAGCTATGTTAGTAGGAGTTCTTTTCTCTGTCCTTTATGGGACATGACCTTCCAGGTGAGGTTGTGAGAAAATGGTTTACCTTTCTGCATTAGCGAAGGTGAAGTGGAGAGGCCTCAGGAGACGTTAGTACTGGTATGGGAAGGTGGTCTGAAGAACTTAAAGGGTGCGCGTGAGAAGGAAGGCAGTGTAAAGGAGCAGGTGGGATAGATGAGCAAGTGCAAATATAGAGGAAGAACACTAGAGCTGTGGGGGGAAGATAGGAGAGAAGGGGTTTGAGAGCAGGAAGAAAAGGGGGACAGGGTGAGGAGGTAGGAGAAAGTAAAGGTCGAGGTGAAGTGGGGGGGTGTGTGTGGGGGGAAGTAGGTTGGTGCACCTGAGCAGGGGGAAAGCTAAGAAGAAACAGAGAGACATATTTAAAAGGGAGACAGTATATAAAGAGGTGTTTGTTGATGAGGGAAGGGGTATAAATAGGAACTGTAAGGATTGGCAGTGGTGGAGAGACTTGATTTATGTACTTTGGGAAGGATCAATGGTGTGTGATGCTCATTGCTGTTTAAAGAGTAGTGGATAAGCGTTTCAAGTATAGTCACTTGTATTTGCCGTGGAGGGAGTGTGATCGAGTAAGTCATGGGACAGCTACACAGGCTGAAACAGTGATGCTGCAAGGGGAGTTAGTGCTGGCTTCATGTGGGCAAGAGTAATGTGTTCTATATTAAGAAAAACTGATATGTGGCCCTGGGTGGTGCCCATCTATATTTCTTACCAAGGTATGGTCAAAGCAGTAAGAAAATACAAAATTAACATATAAATAACATCATCAACATCTATAATATTAACATGCAGGTAGCAGGCTTCTTCGTGATCACTAATATACCAGAGAGAGGGGGTGGGGGTTTAGGGGGTGGGGGAAAGGGGCACAACATGGGCTGCAGACACAACTGTGCTAAGAGCAATGCAAGGCATCTAGAAGGCCCATTGTGTAAGTAGACAGAGACATCAGAGCCTGTGTGTTGTCCCAGGGTGATTGCATATTTAGGAGCCAGTGAGAGTCACTAAATAGAAAGATTGCACAGCAGTTTGTTTTAGGATGCCCATTCCAAATCTTACCCTCCCCTCCTGGGTATTACAAATTGCCAGAGACCACCTTATTCCAGGGAAGGCCCTTTTAAAGGTGTGTCCTTGGGTTAGGGAGCTGGCATACGTGCTTATAGGACAGCTACATAAAAAACTAGTAGTTTAGTATAGAGTATAAAGAAAACAAATTAGTACAAAACAACAGCTGCAATCTAATGATGGGAGGAAATGCTGTGTTGTATGCTATAGATTGTTCCCTCTGTCTGCAAGAGGGTTAGTGACAAGTGTCAGTGGAGCCACTGGTGCTAGGATGGTTGGATTGTCCTGAGGGATTGTGATGTTGGTAGCAGTATGCTATATGTTCAGATTTGACAAGGAAAACTGCAGAAAGCAGCCAAGATAATAACGTAAGACGTCTCTTACTGGATGGGGAGAGTTTAACATTCGCAGACAGTGAATGCACCGGATGTCCTGGTCCTTGAGCAAAGGTATACAGTTCTGAGGGGGGTATTGAGAAGGCAAACATAGATTGGACCGTGTCCGTGTTGTCAAGGGGGATAGTAATGTTTAGGGGGTCCAGCTTAGCTCCTGTAGCATGCCCGGAGCAGAAATGCTGAATCCTGAATATTGAGAAGGGAGTCCCAGGGTTCATGGTAGTTGGCTGCCATGGGACTCAAGGATCTGTGTAATCCACAGGAAGTAGCAAAAGAGGGGGAGGCTCAGTCAGGCTAGCAAGACAAACAAATACTCCATAACTTATCTAAAGTCTGGATGACCAGTCTCAGGGTACACAGATGGTCACTCTCAAAGGAAGGATTACATTGTGTTCCCAAGTTGGTTTCTAGAAGATGGTTCTGGTTACCTCCTATTTCTACTCTCTTTTCAATGCAGCTCTGAGTGTCGAGCATCAGGAGAGTGAGTCGCAGCCAAAGTACATAGCAGAGGTAATCAAAAGTCATAGTACCAATCAAGCATGAGACAAGTGGGATCTGGAACTGTTTGAAGAGAAAGGCAGGTCCTCAGGTGTCCTGAGGAAAATTGTCTGGCCCAGGTGAGTCACTAAGAGATAAAATGGGAATCACTATCATTATGGGATGTGTGATTCTCTTAGCTCACCGAGAAGTAGACCGAGAGCTCTTCGATTACACGGTTCATGTAAGTTTAGAGAAATCTTGAAAGTCCTTCATTGAAGGTGATATGTACTTGTTCTACCTCTTCCTACATAACCTTTCCTTTTAGTTAAAATTTTGTGAACCAGGAGATGATATCTTTAGGCGGTTCTCTTGTTCTGGGAGGATGTCATATGACGTCTTCCCATTCTCACCACACATGTGCGGCTCCGGGAGCGCGCAGTGTGGCGATTGGCTGTGCGCTGTGTCCCTCGGACACAGCGGATCACCGATCGATGGAAAGAGCCGAAGATGTCGGCTCGGTCATGTGATCAGCTGTGTCCAATCACAGCTGATCACATGTAAACAGGGAAATGCCGGTTATCGGCATTTCTTTCCTCACGAGCTGTCACGCTGACAGCTCGAGAGGAGAGGAGAGCCGGTAATCGACATTCCTCAGAGGGGACATCTACACAGATCATCGGAGCACGGATGATCAGTGTGCCCTGATGATCTGTGTAGCCCCAGCAGCGCCACCTGTCAGTGTCCATCAGTGCCAGCTCTGTGCTCATCCATGCCACCTGCCAGTGCCCATCAGTGCCACATTTAAGTGCCCATCAGTGCCACATCAATGCCAAATATCAGTGCCCATCTGAGCTGCCTTTCAGTGTCACCTATCAGTGCCAGTCAGTGCCACCTATCAATGCCACCTATCAGTGCTGCCAGTCAGTGCTGCCTATCAGTGTGCATCAGTGCCGCCTATCAGTGCCCGTCAGTGCTGCCTATCAGTGCCGCCTAACAGTGCCAGTCAGTGCCACCTATCAGTGCCATATATGAGTGCTGCCTTTCAGTGCCCATCAATGATGCCTGTCAATGCCCATCAGTGTCACCTACAAGTGCCTCCTCATCAGTGCCCATCAGTGCCATCTATCAGTCTCCATCAGTGCAGCCTATCAGTGCCCATCACTGCAGCCTCATTAGCGCAAATCAGTGAAAGAGAAAAATCACTTATTTAAAAAATCTTTTAACAAAAACCAAGAAAAAACGTTTTTTTTTTCCCCAAAATTTTTAGCGGTTTTTGGTTTGTTTAAGAAAAAATAAAAAACCCATAGGTGATTAAATACCACCAAAATAAAGCTCTGTCACAAAAAAATGATAAAAATTTAATTTGGTTACAGTGTTGCATGATCGCGCAATTGTCAAAGTGCAACAGTGCTGCTGAAAGCTGGAAATTGGCCTGGGCAGGAAGGGGGTATAAGTGCCCTGTAGGCTAGTAGTTAAGAGGATCTGAATCTCTTTAGTGAAGTCTCTGTGCTCCGTGGGCCCTCTGTAAATCTATGGTAAATTCCTCCTGTTCCGATAAGTTGTTAAAAATCAACTGTAGGGCTGAATAGCTCTGGTGAGGATCTACCGTTACCAGGGCCTCAGATCCTCAGATTTTTCCATTAGCCCAAGTTGTTGAGATCTTTAAGGTGTCTTTGTGCCCCAATAAGTGGCCACTGTAAGACTCAGAGGTATGTTGCCACTGTTGGTGTTAATAAACCATGTAAAAAAATACAAGTATATGTGTTTAAGGTTTGCTTTCCTTCTGAAGCCTGCAATTGCCTTTCATTCTGCTTTTGAATATTTAATTCCCTTTGTTTCCTGCTTTAGGATGACTTTACTGAGTTCCTTGGAGCCACCTTTGAAGGCACGGTCCCAGCTGTGATTAAAACTACATGTGCATACATTACCTGTGCATACAAACAAGCAACAGCCCTGAAAATGAACTCTAGCAATGCAGGCATCATCCCTGCTCTTCCTAAAGTCTAACAGAATCACTATGGCTCCTGAGACAGGGTCTACAGGGACAGGGCATTGAGGAAGGGATGATAGTACATTTAGTACCAAAGAGGCTGTTCACATAACCCGCTCAGTGTGTGCTTCCCAGCCAGAAGTTCATGACCACTACTGAGTGATCTGGAGCCAGTAGCAATGAAACATCTCTGAAAATCTGCTTAAATCTTGGGTTAATGTAAATGCTTTCCACAAGAATTTTTTTTATTAGTGGTTAAAAATATATTAAAGTAAAATACCTAAACTGAGACTTCAATATTACTTTGAAGGTCAGATACCACTTCAGCCTGGGTGTGTTTGATGTCCAGAGCCACATATCGCCTTTTTCTTGCCCTGGCATTCGGTCTAGAGAGATGGCTGATGGAGAGGTCTGGTTTGAGACATATCTGAGGTCTTTTGTGCTTGCAAATGGAACAGACTTGGGATGTATCCAGCAGAGCACTGGTTAAAGCTTGTAGAAGGAGATTTCTTTCTGCTCCTGGGAGGATGCGGAACCCCTGACTCCTGTCTGCACAGTGCTGATTGGCCTTGTGCTGACTACATGCACTCTCCCAAGAAAAAAAAACAACCTATCAATACACACCAAACTGAGCATGTGCATAGTGACTCCACATGATATGTCTTATCAGGAGATAAGAGGGGGCACTGGAAAAAGAGGAGGATCAGAGAAGAGAGGATCAAACAGCCTTTTTACACAATGCAGAGGATTAACCCCTTAGGTTTCACAGTGAGTATAACAAGCATGCTTTACTGCATATACAAACTGATTTTACTGTTGAGGGTTTAGTAACACTTTAAAGAAAATACTGGGGTTGATTTGCTGGAGAGTGCAAAATTTGGCGCAGCTCTGCATAGAAACCAATCAGTTTAAATTTTTTTTGTCAAAGCTTAATTGAACAAGCTAAAGTTAGATGCTGATTGACTACCATGCACAGCTGCACCAGATTTTGCACTCTCCAGTCTTAGTAAATCATCTTAACTGTATATAATAATAAAAGCAGTCCAGCAAATAACTACCAGAGGACTACAAATGCACCAGCAAATAACTACCAGAGGACTACAAATGCACCAGCAAATAACTACCAGAGGACTACAAATGCACCAGGTGTAAATTGATTTAAACTATTTATAAATTATGAAAATGCTTTGCATTGCCTTAACTAAGTATACAGATCAATCACATCAGTAACCAAATCTAAAAGGAGTTTATAATCTCTACCCTGCCACAGTCCTACAGACACACATGCTATCAGTAATACTCAGCAGGGTTTTACCTGTTTAATGGTTGTGGTGAATCATGTAAACCAGCCTGTGCGATAGCCATATGTAGTCTGACACTAGCAAGTCATGCTACTTGTAAGCATCTCCTGTCATATTTGGGATTTTATGTGACCTCTCATGTAGGACGATAATGAACAGCTCTGGTAGTCAGAGGCACTTAACATGCAGGGAGAGAGATCATTTTGATGCAAGAATGTCATGACTGTGGTGATCAAATCGTCACTGAATTATATGAAAAAAATTGCCATGTGTACTCCAAGCCTTATATGCCATACCCAGCTCTAGCACTATGTTTTGTAAAACTTGGTTTATTTAATTATTCACATAACATAATATAATATATTATAATATAAATAAACTCCAAGGAATATTCCAAAATGTATCAGAGATATGCTTAGATAAAATGGAAATTATCTAATTTTCCAGTACTCTAATTTCCTATTAAAGTGTTACTAAACCCAGGACCCGGGATTTACTATATCTGGTCTCCCACAGTTCACAGAACTTGGAAATGCAATAATTTTAGTAAATATAAACGGCTAAATAGCTTTTCTTATCAGCAGTATATAGCAGTCTTGTGACCACCCGAGTGTCCCCCCGAGCATGGATTAAAGCTTGTAGGAGGAGCCTTTATTCTCCTCTGACTGTCCTATAAGGCTGCATAACCCCTGACCCTCTGTCTGAACAGTGCTGACTGGCCCTGTGCTGATCAAATGCACCCTCCTCCAGCAATACATACCAAAATGAGCATGTGCAGAGAAGACAGGATCAAACAGCCTTTTTACACAATGCGGAGGAATAACCCCTTAGGTTTCACAGTGAGTATAACAAGCATGCTTTACTGCATGTACAGACAGATTTTACTGTTGTGGGTTTAGTAACACATCTGAGAAAGAAAAATGGAGAAGGGAGATGTTAGCAATTCTTTACAAAAAAAAAAAAAATCTTTTTTAAAAATTGGTGCTGAAGAGAGATTATTAGCATGTATCAATCTAAGGACATTAAGACTGCATCTTAGCAAAAACAAAAAACCACACAACAAAGCTAAACCATCCAGTAATAAAAATGTAAATACTGCTATAAAGTCTTTTCATCTTGCCATCTGATATAATATCCTCTACAGTAAGCATATATGGATGGCAGGATACCAGAATTGGAGCCAGACTGGCTCTCTTACCTGCAGCTTACATGCCACTGAACCTTACAGACATTAGTCCAAGTGAATACTTGCAGTTGACATTTTGCTGACTACAGAGGAGAAAAAAAAGGCCTATTCAGGTGCTTTCCATTCCAAAGTGCCAATGTCAACTGCACACCTTGGAAACAATGCTTATAATATTCACTGAACAACAGCAAAATGTCCTGCTTGGGCTGTACCAAGCATAATCAGTTGCAGTCTATAGTGCTGTGTCTAAAGATCAAGTTTGGCTTGTTGTCAAGTCTTCTATAAAGGTGCAGATGGCATTGATGAAGTCCTTCGTCCGCTCTGCATGCACCCAGTGTCCAGCCCCTTCAATGTACTCAATATTCGCACAAGGAAAGAGTCTATCTATGTCTGGATAATTTTCAGAGCTGTTAATGTAAAAAAAAACAAAAAAAGTTTCATTCAGACTTCGAACTTTAGAGATTAATATATATATAAAAAAAAGAAGAACAATGAAAACACAATTAACAAGCACTTGTAGAAACATTTCATGATGTGTGAATATGCTGTTCATCTCCTGGGGGACCCAACTAGTTAATTTTGGTTGGCTGTCTGCTTCTGCTTTATGTCATATTAATATTAGGGCCTATGAACATTATCTAACCACTTGACCTCTGGAAGGTTTTAACTCCTTCATGACCAGGTCATTTTTTCCTATTCAGCACTGTGCTACTTTAACTGACAATTGCACGGTCATGCAACACTGGACACAAATTAAATTTATATATCATTTTTTCACACAAATAGAACTTTCTTTTGGTGGTATTTGATCACCACTGGGTTTTTTATTTTTTACTATATAAATGAAAAAAATACAGAAAATTAAAATTATATACAGTTGTGTTCAAAATAAAAGCAGTGTGCTGAAAAAAGTGAAATATAGCTCAAAATGCTTCTAATAGCAAATTTTGTTGTTTCCATGAAGAAACAAAAATAGATCAAATTTGCAGTGTTTGTATTCTTCTTTACAAACTCAAACATTCACTATATAAATTGAAAAATGTTTGAAGATTTTGCTTTCCTTCGAATCACTTAATGAATATTTAGTTGTATAAGCACGGTTTCTGAGAACTGCTGTACATCTGTGTTGCATGGAGTCAACCAACTTCTGGCACCTGTGAACAGGTATTCCAGCCCAGGATGATTGGACTACATTCCACAGTTCTTCTCTATTTCTTGGTTTTGCCTCAGAAACTGCATTTTTGATGTCACCCCACAAGTTTTCTATTGGATTAAGATCCGGGGATTGGGCTGGCCACTCCATAACGTCAATCTTGTTGGTCTGGAACCAAGATGTTGCACGTTTACTGGTGTGTTTGGGGTCATTGTCTTGTTGGAACACCCATTTCAAGGGCATTTCCTCTTCAGCATAAGGCAGCATGACCTCTTCAAGTATTCTGATGTATTCAAACTGATCCATGATCCCTGGTATGCAATAAATAGGCCCAACACCGCAGTATGAGAAACATCCCCATATCATGATGCTTGCGCAACCATGCTTCACTGTCTTCACAGTGTACTGTGGCTTGAATTCAGTGTTCGGGGGTCGTCTGACAAACTGTCTTCGGCCACTAGACCCAAAAAGAACAATCTTACTTTCATCAGTCCACAAAATGTTGCGCCATTTCTCTTTAGACCAGTCAATGTGCTCTTTGGCAAATTGTAACCTCTTCAGCACATGCCTTTTTTTTTCCAACAGTGGGACTTTGCGGGGGCTTCTTGCAGATATCTTGGCTTCACATAGGCGTCTTCTAATTGTAACAGTACTCACAGGTAACTTTACACCTTCTTTGATCTTCCTGGAGCTGATTATTGGCTGAGTCCTTGCCATTTTGGCTATTCTTCTATCCATTCGAATGGTAGTTTTTTTTTTTGCTTTCTTCCACGTCTTACAGGTTTTGGTTGCATTTTAAAGCATTTGCGATCATTTTAGCTGAGCAGCCTATCATTTTCTGCACTTCTTTATATGTTTTCCCCTCTCCAATCAACTTTTTAATCAAGGTACGATGTTCTTCTGAACAATGTCTGGAATGACCCATTTTTCTCAGAATTTCAGAAATGCACTGTAACCAGCATGTACAACATTTGCTGCCTTCCTTCCTTCCTTAAATAAGGGCAATAATTGCCACCTGTTTTTCAAAGAATGAATGACCTCACTAATAGAACTCCACACTGCTATTATTTTGAACATGCCCCTTTCAATTAGTGATTCAATTACACAGAATCAGCAGCATGCATGTCATGACTGTTGGGTCTGTTGGATTTCTATTACTCTACTACACCTGTTAGTAAATTATTTGCCATGTAGAAATATAATTTCTACCAAAAACAGTGATTGATCAGGTTAGTGATGTCTGACTATATATATATATATATATTTTTATTCTACTTTTTTTTTTTTTTTTTTTCTGTTTGAAAACATGCCCAATAGTAAAAAAAGTAAATCAAGTTTCAAAAAAAAATTTCATATATTTAGCTTGACAAAATGTATTCTGCTACATTTATGCAGCTTTGATGCTATACTAGTCATAGCGGTGATGGTGACATAGTGGAACTGTGATAATGTGGTGATCAATATGGCGTTAGCGGACTGACACGGACATCAATAGTAACACTAATACAGTGATCAGTGCTAATACTGTACACGGTCACTATACTAATGACAAGGGCTGGTAAGGGGTTAACTGTGTGCCTAACAATGTGTAATGTGTGCTGCTTTTACTTTACTATCTGACTGTTTTTTTCTTCCTGCTGTGCAGGGAGAAGAAAGGCCAGTTTGCTGTTCCCTGTACACAGAGTTCTGTGTTTTTGTAAGCACAGAACTCTGTGTGACTGGACACAGCCAGTCAGCTGACTTCAGGCAAAATAATTAGCTGAAATCATCTGCAAAAAACTTGTGCTGTGTCCAATGACAGCTTGTGTCGGCAGGGGGCGGGCATGCACCCTTCCCAATCCTGGAAGAACGCAGTCACATATATGAACGTGATCGTACCTGCACCTTCTGCTCGCATGCAGTATATTTAGAAAGATGAACAAAGTGTAAGAAGCATGTAATGTGAAGTGCTGTAACTCAGAGAAACCAGTAAACATTCTTGATACTGAAGTCATACTGTTACAAAATGGATTCTGATTTGTTACTACAGGTAACACATTTGTAATTAGCGTACCACGCAGAGTCAGAAAGAGAAAGAGAAAAAAGAAAAAAACGCCATATCTATTGCAACACCAGCCTCATGCTCATATGATCATTTAAATCAGTTGCTTCTCAAACTTGGGACAGGGTCCCAGTAAATTCTTCCAAAACCTTCCCCAATAGTTAATAAAATGCAAAAAATATGTGTTGAAATACTGGAGGGCTGAAAAGATGTCTAGCATTCTCAATCATTCCCTGTCTAAACTGGAGGATTTCCAAGGGCACCCTGGGAGACAAATGTTCTGCAGGGACCAGAGGCACTGGAGGCTCTGCAGGGGACTGGAGGACACTTCGGGAGGTTGGGGGGCTCACTGTGTGTGGTTGAGGGGCACCAAGGGCCACTATGGGAGCTGGGAGACACTGTGGAGGGTCAGAAGATCAGCAGCTGGCTGGAGGCCTGGGAGGAAGGAGGCTGCGGCCCAGCAGAGGGCCACAGACAGGTGGTTGAGAACTACTAGTTTGGATGATTCTGTCCTCAAAAAATAAAAAACTAGAGCATGCAGATTCTAAAATGAGAAATCAGATAAAAGCTCTGTGTCCTCTATTGGGAAAGATCAGAGGTTATAGGAAAATTCTCTGTTTTTCATCAATCGCTCTTTATTTTACTTATATTTCCTGAGATTTTTTGTAAGAACAAGCTGCACTGTAGAAATGTTCAGTGTGATTTTATTTAAAGGTCTAAATTTGTGTCCTTGGTCCTTTTTTACTGCAGGCACAAAATGAGTTGTTCTGTTATTCAAGTTTATAAAAAGGAGGCAAATTAATTTGTAAAACCGCTGAGTCTCTCACCTTATATAAGGGGAGTTTGCCCCTCCCAGGAAAAGTGTGGGCCCAGGATAAGGATCATGGAACTCTGGGAAATCTAACAGATCTTGAAGATGGTTTGCTATCGCCTCCAGATTCACTCTCCACTTGAAACTCTCATTTTCTTGTACCAGGTTTGTCAGGAGAAACTGACGGACTGCTGCTTCCTGCACAAATACAAGTACAAATTAAAACTTGGAAAAAGTATAACTCTGTAGAACCGTTTTATACATTCTAGATTTTTCATTTGGTTAAAAACATATATTTGTATACTAAACATAACTCTGAGGAAGAGGGCCTTATCCTCGAAATGCATAATCTGCGCCCTGGTGGATGGACACGCTTCCAGTGGCTTGTTGGACTCTTTCTTCCTAGGTTTGTCTTATGACATATACCCATGCCTACCTTTCAGATTAAAGCTGAAGACACTAGCATGGCCAGGAAGCATTGAAGATGACAGCCTTATATAACAGATACGCTCTAAATACACGAATGCACTAATTTGAAGAAGATATACCGTATTTGCCGGCGTATAAGACGACTTTTTAACCCATCAAAATCTTCTGAAAAGTCCGGGTCGTCTTATACGCCAGTATACGCCGAGCCGGTGTCAGGGCGGCACTTTTTCGAGGGGCGGCGCGGTGGTGGAAGGGACACTAAGTACAGGGGCGGGCAGGGTGCTGCTGTACCTTACCTGGCTCCGGTCCCGGTCCCACGACGATCCGGTCCAGGAAGCGCGGCTGCTCCTTCTTTCAGTTCGGACCGCTCGATGGTCACGCTGCCGCTCGGCTCCGCCTCCTCACTGATTGGGCGCCAGCACTGGAAAGGCACACAGGCGACCAATCACCGGCGAGGAGGCAGAGCCGAGCGGCCCCCCACGAAAATCGAGTGAGGGAGCGGCCAGTAAAGTGTGCAGCAGCACCATGCTGAGACACTCTTGGCACTATTCCTCTCCCCCACTGACACTAACGATGGGGCACTGTTCCTCCCCCACTGACACCAACGATGAGGCACTGTTCCTCCCCCACGGACACCAACGATGGGGCACTATTCCTCCTCCCCAATGACACCAATGATGGGGCACTATTCCACTCACACCAACGATGAGGCACTATTCCTCCCCCCACTGACACCAACGATGAGGCACTATTCCTCCTCCACACTGACACCAACGATGAGGCACTGTTCCTCCCCCACTGACACCAACGATGGGGCACTATTCCTCCTCCCCACTGACACCAACGATGGGGCACTATTCCTCCTCCCCACTCACACCAACGATGGGGCACTATTCCCCCCCCCCCCCCTGACACCAATGATGGGGCACTATTCTCCCCACTGATACCAATGATGGGGCACTTTTCCCGCCACTGATACCAACGATGGGGCACTATTCCTTCCACTGATACCAATGATGGGGCGCAATTCCTGCCACTGATACCAATGATGGGGCGCTATTCCTCCCACTGACACCAATGATGGAGCACTATTCCTCCCACTGACACTAATGATGGGACACTATTCCTCCCACTGACACCAAATGATTGGGCACGATTCTTCACACTGACACCAATGATGGGGCACTATTCCTCCCACTGACGGGGCACTATTCCTCCCACTGACACTAATGATAGGACACTATTCCTCACACACTGACACTAATGATGGGGCACCATCATTGGTGTCAGTGGGAGGAATAGTGTCCCATCATTGGTATCAGTGGGAGGAATAGTGCCCCATCATTGGTGTCAGTGGATGAAATAGTGCCCCATCATTGGTGTCAGTGGGAGGAGTAGTGCCTCATCATTGGTATCAGTGGGAGGAATAGTGCCCCATCATTGGTGTCAGTGGATGAAATAGTGCCCCATCAATGGTGTCAGTGGGAGGAGTAGTGCCTCATCATTGGTATCAGTGGGAGGAATAGTGCCCCATCATTGGTGTCAGAGCGAGGAATCGTGCCCCATCATTGGTGTCAGTGGGAGGAATAGCACCCCATCATTGGAATACCATACTGAAATATCATACCATATTGAAATCAAATCTGATGTTTTTTCATTTTTATTTGGTGTGTGTTGGAAGAGGGATAGTCTTATACGGCGAGTATAGCTCAAACCCTATATTTTAACAGGAAAAGTAGGGGGTCGTCTTATACGCCCAGTCGTCTTATACGCCGGCATTATTCACAGAATCTAACTTCTGTGAATAATGTGTAATTATACATGTACATGGGAACGGTCATATTTAAGCTGGCCATACACAGCCCAAATTTGGGTTGATTCCTGCTAAATTGGGTGAGAATCGAACTATGGGTGATCCTGTTGGCACAACCGAAATCAACTTGACAGAAATCAACTAAAAAATTGAAGCAGCTGGGTGGCCCTAATGGATACAGTTAGTGATCAGGTATTCAGACAGCAGTGGGTGCTACATCGATTTCAATACAATAGCATGCTGTGCATCCACAATGATTAGAATGAATGAAGGAATCTACTGATTTTCTGTAATTCAGCCCACTGACTGAACAATAGAAATCTAGCCGTGTATGGCTAGCTTTACTCATAACATACCTCAGACTGTACTTTCTTTTTGCAGTATTGTACTATGATCAAGCTTTACTCACCAAAAATCCTTTGAATCTGACACTTCTAAAAGTGTCAAATGTCTGATCCCTGCTTCGCTCTGTGGATTCATCTGCTGGCCACTATGTAACTACAGGACACAGTAGTGACATAGGGGCTGGTAAAATAAAACATACAGAACAGCAGGGGACCAGGCATCCGGCAATCCAGAACTGTGTTGTATCCTGAAGATTCTTCAACAAGCTTATCACTTTATGACAACAACATTTGGAAGTCAGACAAGTATTAAAGTGTTACTAAACCCAGGACCCTGCATTCACTATATCTGGTCTCCCACAGCACACAGAACATGGAAGTGCAATTATTTTAGTAAATATAAACTGGCAAAGAGCGTCATAACGTCACTTCCGGGCCTGGGAACGTCCAAGCAGAGTGAGAACAAGGGTTGGAGTGCATGGCGGCAATTTTTAGAATTTTACAAGCTGGAAACACTGGTGCCGGTCTAGAGGCACCTTTACATGTGAGTGCAATATAGTATTTTTATGTAACCATTGTTTCTTAATTAAAATACTACACTTAGAGAGCAGTTTACTTGTTTGATTCATTTAATGGTCGGCTGCATTCCCGTGGGAGGAATATCTATAAAGCTAATATTGGAGGCAAATTGTGATCCCTTATACTTGGCCATCACTAATGAATTGCTGAAGGGGAGTAATGGAGATAACACAGAGAGAGGGTTGACCCCTATGAGACCAAAGGCATATTTGACCACCGTAACTAGGGTCAAAGGATCTGGTGAGTGAGCAATCCACACTATACTTCTATGAGCATGTGGTGAAGATTACAGTCACAACCTTATCCCTGCTGAGGTTTGGGACAGATATAAGAAGCTGCAAGGATTGTCACTTTATCTATGGACTTTACCATTTCACATTTATATGTAATTAATTGGTAAAATTGGCTTGTATCCGTTTAGAAATATTTGGTTTGGTCCATGCACTTGTGGGTATGCACCAAATTTGAATGTTGGAATTCATGGTTCCCTCAATGAACTGTAGCTCCCCAATGCCAGCAGCACTCATGCAGCCCCAGACCTTGACACTCCCACCACCATGCTTGACTGGTGGCCGCCACACATGCTTGACACCATCTGAACCAAATAAGTTTATTTTGGTTTCATCAGACCACAGGACATGGTTCCAGTAATCTATGACCTTAGTCTGCTTGTCTTCAGCAAGCTTTCTTGTCCATTATCTTTAGAAGAGGCTTCCTTCTGGGATGACAGCCATGCAGACCAATTTGATGCAGTGTGCGGCATATGGTTTGAGCACTGACAGGCTGACCCCCCACCCCTTCAACCTCTGCAGCAATGCTGGCAGCTCTCGTACGTCTATATCCCAAAGACAACCTCTGGATATGATGCTGAGCACGTGCACTCAACTTCTTTGGTCGACCATGGCGAGGCCTGTTCTGAGTGGAACCTGTCCTGTTAAACCACTGTATGGTCTTGGCCACCATGCTGCAGCTCAGTTTCAAGGTCTTGGCAATCTTATTATAGCCTAGGTCATCTTTATGTAGAGCAGCAATTTTTTTTTCAGATCCTCAGAGAGTTCTTTGCCATGAGGTGCCATGTTGAACTTCCAGTGACCAGTATGAGAGAGTGAGAGCGATAACAACAAATTTAAACACACCTGCTCCCCAGTCACACCTGAGAACTTGTAACACTAACAAGTCACATGACAATGGGGAGGGAAAATGGCTAATTGGGCCCAATTTGGACATTTTCACTTAGGGGTGTACTCACTTTTGTTGCCAGTGGTTTAGACATTAATGGCTTTGTGCGAGTTATTTTGACGGGACAGCAAATTTACACTGTTATACAAGCTGTACACTCACTTCTTTACATTGTAGCAAAGTGTAATTTCCTCAGTGTCGTCACATGAAAAGATATAATAAAATATTTACAAAAATGTGAGGGGTGTACTCACTTCTGGGAGATACTGTACTTGTGGTAAAAAAAAAAAAATGTATCCTGTGCTCTTTGTATTTCTTCTTTTGTGTGAAATATATGGTGACCTTTTCTGTCCCCATTTTTCTATTTCAAACTGACCACACTGGGCATGATAGCACATCATTACCAGCATGGTCAGTTTGTCTGTGCTGCGAGCACAACCGGCCTGTCCTCTAATGGTCAGACTCGTGCTGACACTTCCTCCGCACAGCTATGAATTAGTTAGTTAGTTTACAGTTTCTTCACCCCACCTCTCAAAGTCCCTTTCACAGCTGAGAACAGAGGTTTTGTGAAAAAAGGTATTTGTTCACATATGCTTTAAATGTACAGTGTTTTGTGCATTATGTTGCTTTAAGATGGGTATACACAAAACAAAAACAAAATCATTCAGTTCAGCAGGAACCAGTCAAATTTTGCTATGTGTGTATTCGTCTGTTCAACAGAAGCTACTTGTCTAAGACTGGTTTCTGTTGAACAGTCCTGCTGAAAACCACCAATCTGTGCATGCAGCGCTAATTTGTGTATTCTGATGAGACTGCTTTAAGGGGGTTGAAGGAAAGTTCTCACTGCTAGAATACAACAGTTCAACGGGAGAGATACCTGCATCCACATCACTTATGGGCATGGGGAGATCAGCAAGTTTTTCATTCAACCAGTGTTGAATGAAAAAACAAAAACAAAAAAAAAACAACACACCACACACCTCTGCTTATAAAGATAGAACCATGATCTTAGTTTGGCTTCGGACCTTTGATCTCTGTTGTGGTATATTACTGTGCCCAGGGTTAAGCCAACCCACTCATAATGAATTCGTATATGCCATGCGTTTGGTGCACTACAGTGTGCTGCCTGCTACTTTAATTGTACCTTTTTGTTGATATTCTAAATGAATGCCACTGCAATGGACAACACAGAGTGCTATGCATTATAATAAAGTGTGGTAAAACAAGTGTTTTATTACACATTATTACGACACAAAAGTCAGGAAGTGATGAAACGCGTTAGTCAACGTGATGTCAAGACGCACGCACAAAACCTGGAAGTGCCGCCGTGGCCATTTTAACTACTGAAAAACTTGGTTTCCATGCCCTATTGTTTGCAAGGCTGGTTTGTTTGCCACAGAGCTGATATTCTTTATCCTTAATGCAAGTCATTTAATAAATTTATCCCTATACTTGGAAATCTATTATATGAGTCTCCTTTGCTTTATGAGGAATATGGGGGATGGGCTCCTGAAGTGAAGGAAAACTTGGAAGTAATACTTTACCAGAGATATCGTGATAAGCTTATGAATACTACCAGAGGGTAATGGTATTTAAAATCACTATTTTGAGTGTTCACGGAGTGTTCATTATATGAATTGAAGTGGTCACTGAGTGTTCACCATAAGTATTGAAGTGTTCACATTTAATAATTTTAAATATATATTTTGGGTATTTTTTTTTTCTTCTCGCATAATCACTAGTTATCACAGCTGAGTGGTTTGGATTGTTGCACAGATACAGAGAACAATAGCACAGCGAAGAGATAACAGAAAGGAATTTAGATAAAGTACTTGCCAGTCAGCCTTGGTTTAAGCAACTTCCAAGTTTCAGAGTCAAAAGGATGCTTTGATCTCCCACTGTTAGTTTCGATGTTAAAGCAGGGAGATCAACTCTCACACACGGCTCAACTCAGCCTAGCTTAGCTTTTCTAGTAACTCCACAGGGTGCTTCCCTGGAGCAGTAAACCAATCGCCTCATTTGGGGGAGGGAGGTGTAGGTGGAGCCCTAAGTTATGACCAAAAACTCTCCTAGCTTCTATTATGATTCATAACTTATTCTCGGGGCATTTAGCAGCCTTGCCACTAGCAGATTAATATGCAGCCGCATCTGTGGAATTGTTAGATATGAAACATGTCATATTTACTTGAATGGTTTAGGAGATACAATTTTCTGCTCTATTATATGTGTCAGATAAGGGGTGCAACATACCAGGAGAATGGTCTCAAATTCAGCCGTCCGAATATGGGCTCCATGTTTAGGTAATTATGTCCTACGTGAAGATATCAACTTATATGAAAAAGTGAATTTTTAAAAGTAAGTCTGTTATTACGACCCCTTGGAAGGTCTTTTGAAGTTCAGTGAGGGACTTGGTTTACACTTTTACGATATCCCAGATTGAGAGCGAATAGGTACCTAGGCACCAGCTCAGCTGGGGGGTTTTATAGTCCTGACGCCCTCCACTGAGCTTTGCTGCCTGTGACCTCTAATAACACACACCGACCACATGTCACTCAACAGAGAGGGAGGGGGATGAGGAAAGAGGGAGAGAGATAATTACACAAGATGGATGGTCCTTTGCCAAAATGGAGGTTCCCATCCATCTCTGTATGCATGATTGATTTTTTGAGGTATCACGGGATTGAAATAGGATTGGAATCCTTCCTACTGGACTTATTTGTATTTGCTTTGGGTGGATTTTTGATTTGGACTTGAATTGGACTAGTTTAATTTTATTATATATTTTATATTTTGTGTATAGTTTATTTTATAAATATTTTTGGGAATGTTTTAATTAGATAATAGTTAAATTAGTCACTGAGAAAGGTAATTTACATGCTGTCAATTACAGCCAGTGAAAAGGGAACAGGGGGAGGGACTGAGCCATGCTCTGTGTGTTCCATAGACACACAGAGGCAGCTTTGAAGTAAGCATCCATGAGTGCCCCCTGAGCAAGCAGCTTGCTCTGGGGGCACTGAGCAGGGCGGAGGGGCCAGAAGCACTAGCAGGGAACCTGAGAAGAGGCGGATTGGGGGTACTTTTTGCAAAACCACTGCACAGAGCAGGTAAGTATAACTTATTATTTTAAAGAAAAAAAACAAAAAAATTTATAACCACTATTATTATTATTATATAGGATTTATATAGCGCCAACAGTTTGCGCAGCGCTTTACAAAATGAAGGTAGACATAACAGTTACAATACAATTTGATACAAGAGGAAACAGAGGGCCCTGCTCATATAGGAGGAAGGGTTGATTGATACATAAAGGTAATAGCTGTGGGGGATGAGCTGATGGAAGAAATAAAAGGCAGTGTACTAGTTAAAAGTAGGATAGGCTTCATTAAAGAGAACGGTTTTCAGGGATCGTCTAAAGGTGGATAGATTGGGAGATAGTCGGACAGATTGGGGTAGGGAGTTCCATAGGATGAGAGAAGCTTGGGAGAAGTCCTGGAGGCGACCATGGGAGGAGGTGACACAGGAACTAGAGAGCAAAAGGTCTTAGGAGGATCGAAGACAGCGGTTTGATAGATATTTTGAGACCAGGTTAGTGATGTAGCTGGGGGCAGAGTTGTGGATGGCTTTGTAAGTTGTTGTTAGTATTTTTAATTTTATTCGTTGGGCGAGTGGAAACCAGTGCTGGGACTGGCAGAGAGGGGTAGCAGGCACTGAATGGTTGGCAAGGTGGATGAGCCTGGCAGCAGTATTCATGGACTGGAGAAGGGATAGCCTATGTAAAGGTAAGCCAATGAGGAGGGACTTGCAGTAGCCGAGGCAAGAGATAACCAGGGAATGATTTGGGAGCTTTGTGGTATCATTGGTTAAAAAGAGGCGTATTTTGGAGATGTTGCAGGGGTTGAGGAGGCATGATTTGGACAGGGATTGGATGTGGGTCTGAAAGGATAGTTCATAATCCAGGGTTACCCCTAGCACCCTGGCATGCAGGGATGGGTTGATAGTGGTGCTATTGATCCTGACCGAGAAATCAGAGGTAGAGGCACGTGGCGGGAGGAAATATTATGAGCTCAGTTTTGGATAGAATGAGTTTTAGGAAGTGGCGTGACATCCAGTCTGATATGTCTGTTAGTAAATCTGTGATACGTGAGGAAACTGATGGGGTGTCTTGAGGAATAGAGAGATAGATTTGTGTGTCATCAGCATAGAAATGGTATTGGAAACCATGGGAAACTATCAGTTGACCCAAGGAAGAGGTGTAGATTGAGAATAGGAGAGGTTCAAGGACAGAACCTTGGGGGACCCTGACAGTAAGAGGAGGAGGTAGAGTTGTAAGTGACATTGAAGGTGCAGTGAGATAGGTAAGATTCGAACCAATGGAGAGTACATGGAGAACAAGTTATAGAGTTTTTTGAGGAGGAGGGGGGTGGTCAACGGTGTCAAAGGCAGCGGAGAGGACCAAGAGTAAGAGTACGGAATACTGACCATTAGTTTTAGCGGTTAGCAAGCCGTTTGAGAGTTTTAGGAGAGCAGTTTGTGGAGTGTTGTGGGCGAAATCTGGACTGAAGGCGATCGAGAAGGTTATTCTTAATAAGGTGGCAGCTCAGTCGGTTGTAGACTAGACGTTCAAAGAGTTTGGAAGCAAAAGGGAGTAAGGAGATGGGTTTTAGGTTGCTAATATTGGTGGGGTCCAGAGAGGCCTTTTTAAGTATGGTGGTGACTAGCACATGTTTTAGAGAGTTGGGGAAGATGCCAGTAGAGAGGGAGAGGTTGAAGATATGAGTTAAAGAATGAAGGATAGAACCAGAGGGTGACCATAGTATTTGCAAGGGAACAGGGTCCAGGGGACAGGTGGTTAGGTGGGCTTTAGAAAAAAAAAGTTTACCAACCTCCTCTATAGTAG